TGAATGGGAGGTTTTGTGTTCTGTGGGGTTTTTTTGTCTTTCAAAAAGTTTTAGGGAGCTGCAGAGTTTATCAACAGACCAGGATGGGCTATCAGTTGTATGCTGCAGGGGAGGATAAGGCTGAGCAAGTTCATCCTGTTGTTGCTCAGGGTTTAGATATGCTCTTAAAATTATTATCGTCCTGTGCTGTGGTAGGAAGCTGGATGCTTTGCTGGCAAGAGAGCTCATAGCTTCATTCTGTTTTCCTGGCAATGTTTCTCCTGTGTAATAAATATCCCTGCAAAACCGTAGCAGTAAAAATGCAGCTTTGAAGTAGCTGAGCCCATCCCCAGGACCGTGCCTGGCAGGCTGGGGATCAGTCTTAGTAGACCCTCACCAACACATGGATGTGCACAGCCACCACCAGTATCTCCCTGCAGGTGATGCTGGGACGAGTTTCTTCTGCTGCGCTGGGTTTTGGACTAAAGCTGCATTTGAGTGGAAGTGACTTCTAGCAGTGTGTAAAAGTGTGCATCTTAATCCAAGTGAAACTTCATTTTATTCAGTGAAATTGGGTATAAACATACAGGAGTTATTCTACTGCTGTAGAGACCTCAGTGCAATAGGAGTTTTTGAAGGTGGCCTGAGAAACCAGAAAGTGAATTAAAAGAGTTTAAATATTTCAGAAAGAAGTCATTAAGTGCTAAGGATCAAGATAAACCTGGATTTTTAAAAACTCGTGGGCTGTGTGTGTACGTAAACTTGGAGCACGCAGGTAAGCCTGCTTGCTGGTATGGACAGTTGACACTTTATTTTTGGGAGGAACCAGGACCTCCTATCAGAAAGGTGTTTGGTTATTTCCCCTCCCTGTATCTGTATCAGTTTCCGTTGGCTTTTGCTGTTATGAGTTATTAATACCTGAGGTATGCAAACGCTGGGTATGGATGGGAGTGTAGCAGTATCCAGAATTTTATGATGTAGCTTCTTGACTCGGGGGGGGGCTGCACTGACAAAGGCATTTTTTTCTCCATGGGAAAGACTTCATCTGGTTTAGGAAGTTTTCTGGAAAAGCTGTTTCTAGTGTGAACTCAGTGGGAAGTAACATCGATGGAAAACAATAGCTCTGTAATCTCTTCAGGTGAGAGAACTCATTACTCGCATTGAATTTTTTTAGGGCCTTTGCAGTGTTTTTTGTTTTTTTTTTTTTTTTTTTTTCCCTTCACCCTGATTTATAGGTTTTGGGGAGGCTTGGACATGTTTCAGAGGAGAGGGAGCTCCTGAGGAGTGGGTTTGTTGTGTTTGGGGAGGAGAATCTGTCTGAGGATGCCTCAGGACATGTGATGGAGGGTGACTTAAAGCCTAGGATGTATTTTCACAGCTGTTGCAGGAGCTTTTTCCATTTAACGCAGCACAGATGTGAATGATAAAATACAATTTGAAGATTAATGTATACCATCTTGGCATGTGAGAGGTTCAATTATAGGCAGAGCGAGCAGAATAATGGCAAATACATTGGAGTGATTGTTCAGTTAATATAATTTGCGATGAATTATTCACAACAATTTGTTCACCCAGCTCTTATTGTAATCATTTCCACTCCTTCATTTGCTATGCGTTTGAAACTGCTTCCCACAACTTGGGCTTGACAGGTAATAGAGCAGATCCACGCATCCAGCCCCTTCTCCACACCTGCCCCCCGCCCACACGCCAAGAAGGACAGATTGGAAAGAGCTCAGCATTTAGGCACTGAGCTCTCTCTAAGAAATTAATCAGAAGTGTTCAAGTGGAGGCTGCTCCCTGCTTTGCCGCTGTGACCCATAAAAGCCCCTTCTGTGGGGCTGGGAGTGACCTGAGCTCACAGAGGGGCTTGTAGAGGACCCACTCCCACGCTACACCTCGTGTGTACAGGGGGATCTTCCTTCCGTGAGCGATGTGCTGGGGTTTAGCCACCAGCCGGCGATGAGCTGGCGTGGATGATGAATCTCCATCCCTGCAAGCTGCAGCGTATGCTTCCTACCTGTACGGCATCACTCGTGCCTGGAGGTGGGAGGAGAAGGTGTTGGGCTTCACAGCGAGGCGTGCAGCACTGGCAGGCTTGAAAAGCAGCACTTTGCTTGCTCAGGTCCCTGTCCCCTATGTCATACATTAAGCAGAGGGGTGGGTCGCTGGCAGTGCCACAGCCCTGGAGTTGGGGGTCTGGCTTCCAGCACTGCAGAGCATCGCAGTTGTGCCCCCTCTTCCCTATTTTTAAGGCACTGGAAAACCCCCAAATACACATTTCTCCTATCAGAAAGGACTTGTTCTTCCTGGCCATGTGGAAGGGGCTGTTCCTGGGGAGCGGGCATGGGGAAGATGTCCATGTCATCCCTCCATGTCCTCTGCAGGTGTGCCTACAGGGAGCAGGGGGTGACGCAGCTGCTCTTTGCCACCCTGTGCCTTGCCATGGGAGTGGTGGGTGGGAACTGGGGCTGTGTTCTGCTATGAGCTGGGGGGGGGATGCTGGGTAAATCCCCTCGCTTGGAAAAGGGGGCATATGTCATAGGAGATGGCAGTTCTTGGAGACTTCTGCCTAGCTGTTCGGATTTGTTGTCTGGAGCATGAGCAATACTGAAGGCAACATCCCTGTGACGTGAGGGAAAAGAGCCGGGACTGGTCGCTGCCCAGCTCTGTGCTCCCCTGCCGAACCCCGAGATGCAAACTGCAGCTTCGGACTGGTTGGAATGGAGTTTGTTCTCTTCTTCAAGCCATGTTTCCCTGGCCCCGCTGGTACCACATCCATGCCCAGCTTCATTACCTGACCTCTCTGGGCTCTCTTCTGGTGTCTTGTTGTTGTCAGTGTCCGGTGTGTTGGGAGATACTGGGAAATGCTTTGAGGGCAGAGCATGAGGGCTGCTGCAAGGTTCAGGGGAGAATTCAAAGCTGCTTTAGGGTAAGATAAATCCTGCTCTGAATCTTAACCCTTCAAGGACCCTTCCAAGCTCTGTCATGCCATGATCGCAGAGCCTTCAACAAAACCCCATACTCCGTAACAAGCTGGGATTGATGCTACTGCTTCTTCCCATGGCAGGACAGCACTTGTAAGGTTAATCTGCCAGCGTCTACTTGTCCAAATCTCCGTAATCAGGCAAAACATGATTATGGAGCTGTGTGTCATTAGTACACAATGGCTCTTAACTGACTGAGATTGAATTAAAACCCTAATGGCAGAGCATCCAAAGTAAATAAGAGACAACCAGATCCACTGGTGAATGACTCGCCTATCACTCAGCTTGGATTAGGAGAGCAGGAGCTTGGGGCTGGCCAGAAACAGCAGAAACACAGCCATTAAATTGGATATACTGGCCGGGGTTCAGCGCTTTTATTATTGTCAAGCATGTAAGTGTCGGGGGGTGTGAGCTGGGTGTAGGCGTGGGCTTCCTGCACTGGCCTTTGAGCTGGAAAAAACTCCGATGCTTTGGACGCGCCACAGTGGGGAATGAGTTTTGTTCTTTGCTGTATTCTGCTTTTTTTGTATCAGTTTCGTCGAGCAGGTGTCAATGCCTCTAAATGAGTTCCAGCAAATGTAAATTCCAGCATTTATTTTGGGCTGGGTGAGACAATCCTGTGATTTAAACTGTTTTATTTCACTCTGTCTGGTTTTGCTTTTCTTTTTGATAATGTCAGACTGGTGGCTTCCAAACAAAATTTCACTTTGTTTTTGATTTGCCTTTCTTGTGAGTGCATTTTCCAGATCTTTTAAACAAAGCTTCATAAATCCACATTGATGTCATTGTGGACATGTTTTCCATGTTCTATTTTGGATGCCAGAAGCGCTGTGTCCCCAGGGCCAGCCCCGCGGGTGGGTTTCCCTGGGGATGTGCTGGGGAAGGAGCTCCCTCTAACAGCGGGACAGCCGTTGGCCAAAAGCAGCGGAGGCTGCAGGATGCTTTGGAGCCACCAGACTTGTAGTCTTTTTGATTGCCACCTCTGAAGATGGTTATTGCCCTTTTAGCTTTGTTATTATTCCTCATTTTGCAGCTCTGGTGATGCTTAATGGTTGTGTCTTTGCTGACAAATGAGATGGGACTGGAGTATCTGTTGCTCCCCTGGCCCCAGGGAGCTGGTGATGAACCTCTGCCTTGTGCCTGTGCTGTCAGGGACATTTGGGGTGAGAAAAGCACTAGCTGGTGAATTATCTGGAGAAAAAGCAGGGAATGAGCAAGTAAACAACAGAAGATGGGTATAGATCATCAAGATCTGTCAGCAGTGTTGAATTTGAAGTTTCTGGTGTTGCATTCATTTACCTCCTCCTCTGCCAGCCTTATTGCTGTTGCCCCGTGTGAGATCTGTACCTCAGAGCAAGCTTCGTCTTTTACCTAGAGGCTAACAGCTTTTCATGTGTTTCAGAAATTTGCATTTTAATGGAGTAAATCTTATCCTTTCCCTCCAAAGCAGTAACCAAAAAAAAAACCCAAAACCTCTGAGAAGCTTTCTTCAAATACCCAACAGTTCATGTGAAGTGTCCAGAGCAGCTCCGCTGTATTTCAGGTGTGCCAGACCACAGACCCCAGACTGATGACTTCTTGAGGCAAGACCTCATTCCCCCACAGTGAGATCCCCCATATGGTTGTAACTCAGGACCCCCAAAATCCCCCATTGCCTTGGAGCTCTCCTGGGCTGCAGCGTGCAGAGGGTGCACTCCGATGTTGCAAAGCACAAGATAAAAAAGGAGATTGTTCCAGCACAGCCGTATGAAAATGACAGCTGTATAGCAAGGTCTCCTTTGGAAGGAGGTTGGGGGAAAATTGTATGCTGGTGCTCTCTGCTGGATGAAACCTGGAAGGTTTTTTTCTCCTGGGCGCTGTGGTGTCTGTGGGTTCGTGCCAGTGTCAGCTCTGGGCTGCGAGGTCTCCGGCAGCTCTGCCCACACTGGGACGCCCTGATGGTGCGAGTTGTCTTGAACTGGTTCAGGGCTGGCTGAGAGCAAGAGATGCGTTAGGACTGCTGATCTGACTCCTCTCCCCCGTCTCCTTCCCGTACAGTGTGTTACTTGCTGAAGAGCAACATCAGCCCGGACCTGTGCAATGAGGATGGACTGACGGCGCTGCATCAGGTGAGGCGTGGGAGGGGGGCATGGCTCCCCACCGCTGCGCTGCCGCATCGTATCGCTGCCCTCCCAGCAGACCTGCTGGGGAGAACGGGGACAGCTCTTGTGTCTCATTTTGTTGCCCAGTTAAAGCACTGAAACTTTAACATGTTCTAGCAATCCTGTTTCTTGGGGAGCAAACTGGGATCAAACCCTTCTCTTGCTGCATCCCAGACTTTGTTCAGTGATAAATAAAGAGCTCAGGAATCAGGGCTGGGTTTCAGATGTGAAGAACGTTTCTCCCACCCTTTAATCTTTGCAGGGCTGGGCTGTAAACTCTGAAATCAGGGTAACTCGAAGTTAGAGACTTTGGCAACCCTTGATTTTTGAACCTGGTTAAGATAAATGATGCAGAGGATGTTTGGAGAGCCTGCTGCTTCTCTCAGGGATGTCCAAAAGCCTGTAAGGGATGGCAGCAGCTGCTCGCCAGTAAAATACAGACTTGCCATGGTGGTGTGCAAGCCTGTGTCCTTCCTCAGAGCCTCTGCACTGATCCCATGGGGGTGTGTCTGTTCTTCTTCCCAAGGCCCCCATCCCCACCCCTCCTCGTGAGTGCTGATTTTCAGGGTGAAGGCGTCAGGCGAGGGAGCCGGCAGAAAGCCCGTGGGACTCGCCGTGCTGGGCAGTGCTGCCTCCGCTGCCGTGGAAAACAGTGGTGCGGTTGTCACGCTTGTTCCGAGGGCAGAACGGGGACTCACAGTTTTCTCTCTATGAGTCCCTGCTGTAAATGCTCCCATTGACTTGGGATTTCGGATTCTTCGGCAAGTCGCTTGCTCTCTTCAAAGCTGGATGGATGTTTGCTTAAAAATGCAAACTGGCTTCTAGAATAAAAGGTCCCCACCAGCACCAGCACCCCTCTCCACAGAGATGTTATTCTGCACACAGAGAAACGCTGGCAGCCTCATTGCTTTCCCCACTAGGTCCTGACACTATGGAGAATGCCACCTTGCCCACTGAGGGATCAGTTATTGTAAAGGTGCATTTGGCAGTTGAGGGGGGAGTTTTGCATCCACTGGAATTAATAGAATCACAGAACAGAGAGAAGCTCCTCAGTGAACACTGTTGCCCATCAGCAGTGGCTCCCAGCAAAGGAGGCAGTTACACTTCTGTGATAACTTGGCTGTGTGACGGGCATGATTTTAACCTCGCTTCCATATACAAATAGTAAACAGAAATAGAAATACCTAAAAGGTCCTTATCATTCAGCTGCCAAAGTGCTGGTTATGGGGTGTAATTCAGCCCCATTAAGAGCCCGTACTGCAGTGCTGAGTGGTTAGTCTCCCATGTGGGTCTGCAGTAATGCGTAGACCATGAACAGGCTTCCCGCACAAGAATGAATCGTGTTTTAGTGTCTTTATCATACACACATTCATGTCAAGAAGGGAGCACAAGGTGGATCAAAGAGCAAGTTCCACCTCCCCCAGAGGAAAGCAGTTGAGGCCGTTCTTGCAGGCTGCCTCAGGGGCTGTGGTGTAAATGCATCGAGGATGCTGATTTTTTTCAGGAGATGAAAGATGCCCCATGAAGCACCTCATAACTCTGGGAATCCAACTTGCATCTCCTCAGATAACTGTGGTAGGTAGTGTGAGGTGCTGGGAAGGCTTGTACTCATCACATTCCATTGTGTGGGATTTTCCCTAAGAAAAGGGAATGTCAGCTTGTCAGCTTATCCCTCGGTATGTGGTTATACTGGTTACACTGAATTTCTGCTGTGTTTGCTCTTGAATATGGAAGACCCAGTGGAACAGAAGCTGTGTGCATATTTGCTGTTAGTCCCTGCTGGTTCTGCCCCCGAACCAGAAGGCCCAGTAAAACACCAGTGACCTTCAGTCTGTCCAGTGTAGGCGTTTTGCATAGTGCTTTTCTGACCTGGTTGTGCAAAATCTGGTGTTGAGCTCTGTTGGAGATGTTTGTTGCCAAACACTGCAGGATAAAGTAGATCTCCACATCCAGGTACAGCTGAGCAGGTATGAGCAGGTACCATTCCCAAAGTTTAAAAAACCCCTTTATCTGCATCTCTTCCCCACCAGTGCTGCATAGACAACTACGAAGAGATAGTCAAGCTTCTCCTCAACCACGGGGCCAACGTCAACGCCAAGGACAACGAGCTGTGGACCCCGTTGCATGCAGCAGCTACGTGCGGCCATATCAACCTGGTGAAGATCCTCATCCAGCAGTAGGTGGCTTTTTGTGTCTGTCCCTTTCTGCAGGTCTGATTCTACCCACAGCTCCTGTGGATGGAAACCGAGACTGCTTAGTACCTTGCGAGATCGCAGCGGTGGTGATTATTCCCTGCTTTCAGGCTATTCCTGTGACTCCTTCCTGCTTGTGGGAGAAGGGGTTGGAGGAGGAAGAGCAGAAGGGCTGAGGGGACACAGTAAAGCCCTAGGTGACTTAGTTGCATGAAGCTTCTGGACACTGGGTCAAAGTTTGCACTTTTTGCCCATATTCTGGTGTGTATGTGTCTGTGTTTGCACTTGTTGAACCACGCTCGCTGGATGGGTAGAAATAGGAGCAGCCAGCAGGATCCACCCTCCAGCTCTTAAACACAACTTCAGGGCTTCCAGCCACAGCCAAAGAGATACTGGTGTGGGAGGACAGTGGTGTGTTGGTATAGCTTGGGTGAACTTTGTGACCTGTCGTACTGGCTCTTAATTAGTAACCAGTTAGCTTCTCATAATGCGTTTGTTCCCCAGCACACGGGGTGCTTGCACTGGACCTTCCACTTGGCTTTACCAAGGCTCTAAAGCTCAAGTCTTTTCTAGACTTGCCAGCAAGGAGGAGGAAGCCAGATGTGTTTTGAGGTGTACCATGTGCAGCATGTAATGAGCACGTGCTGTGAATCTTGTCTGGAGCAGACGGTCCTGACTCTCGATGGAGCCCGCTCCTCCATTTCGCACAGTGACGGTGCAGAGAGCAGAGTGTTTTGGGAGCATTAACGTGCTGCCTCGCACAGCAGCATCTGCTGCTTCCCCCCCTGGGGACGGAGACTTCTCCCTGTGATGTTGTCACCAGGGAGACTGGCACTGGAAATTTGGCCCTTCTTCTTTGGCCATATAATGAGCAGAGGATGCAAACAATCATCCCTTGGAGGACGTTCCCACTTGGGTTAGGAAATTTTTGGATGGGAGCAATATAGTGCATTCCTGACTCTTAGTTGAAGATCAGGGAGTGTCGTGGGGATGGGTGGCAAGGTCAGGAACTGGAGGTTATGGCCCTAGTTGTCATAGGCTGCCTTGTGCTGAGTAGTTGCCAGCAAATTTGGACTCTAGTAGCCTAATGTCATGATCCCATGCTCAGAAAGTGTCTTCCCCTGGACTTCTGAGGAATGGGGTGATTTCATTTGTTTGCTACAAAGACGTCCTTTACAGAAAGCGCCACATATCAAATGACTGGTTAAACACTGCCTTTGAAGGCAGCGTTACTGGTGGTGGGACCTGGAACCCTTGGAGACCATCAGAAGTAGTAGCCCACAGAAGATGTCCAGTTCCTTTCTTTTTTGTTTGCTGATTAAAGCTGGTACTTCGCAAATGTGAATTTCAATGTAGTTTGCTCTGCTTAGGCAAAGGGGAAAAAAAAAAAAAAAAAGAAACAGGAATCTAAATGCAAGTGGGTACTGTCTGCTGTCCTTCCATGGCTGGTCACTGTCGAGGTAGATCAGAATTCAGCTGAAACTATTTAACAGCTAGCTAAAGTGGCACAGTACAGAAGGTGCTGGAAAATTTCTGCTATGTGGGAATATGAGGACAGTGATTAAATTAGCTGGCAATTTTAGCTGGCAATTTTACTTCCAAATACTGACCTGCTGGAGGTCACTAAAGCACTTAGAGAAGTGGTTTTGGACAATCAGAAAGAAAAACTCACCAGTTGACAAGATATTTTTTTAGTACTACTTTCTGATGATGTGCCCTTGGCTGGGTGGAAGAGTCCCTCCACCATTCAGCCCCTGTCTTTCCCAACTTTGCTGGTTCTTGAAAACTTTTCATTGAAGAACTGCCAGATGCCCAGGTAACAAGCACAAGAAGGATGCATAGTGTGCAGCCTTTCATCCACTTCTGGAATTTATCTACCCCATTCATAGCTCCGTGGTTTTCCTTCAAATCTTTCTTATCCCACAGAAATCGTGATGACATTTGGGCAACTATTAAACCCCAGTTAGTTTTCACGGAGCGTTTATCCCCGTGTCTGGCACTGTCTGCTCTGGGATGCCCGAGGTCCTTTCTCATGTAACGCCGCTTTCTCCTTGCAGCGGAGCAGACTTGTTGGCAGTGAACGCGGATGGCAACATGCCGTACGACCTCTGTGAAGATGAGCCAACTCTGGATGTCATTGAGACTTGCATGGCCTATCAAGGTAAGGAGATGGAGTTCATGTGAAACACAAAAATGGGTCAATGTAGTACTAAAAATTACCTTGTTTCTCAGCTCTTGATTTGCCTCTGGAGAAAAGCAGAGAGCTGCTGCCTGGTGTCATTTCTTGGGACCTGACTCTTGTCTAGTTTCTTTGTTTCCTAAACAATGAGGGTGAAGGACAGCTGTCAGTCCCCTCAGCTACCTAGCCTCTGAAAAGGATGGGAGGTCACATCAACCGTATTTTACTCAACCAGTGGAGACAAAGACCCTACCCAACTCTTCTCTCTCTAACTGTAACTTTAACAGGCATTACCCAGGAAAGGATCAATGAGATGCGGGCTGCTCCAGAGCAGGTCATGATCTGTGACATTCATGACATCCTTGCGACTGGACAAGACCTGAACAGGACCGATGCCCAAGGTGCTACGCTGGTGAGTGAAACTGCCGCGGCTTCGCTTTTGCCTTCCTTCAGCCCGGGGGTTATGAAACCTGCCCTGTGGCAGGAGGTACACAAAATCAACACGTACCAGTCACTGGGAGGAGTGGGGAAGCTATTTTGATCCTTTTCCCTGTTTTAGTTTATTCTCACATAGGAGCAGGCGCTGTCCGTGAGTATGGCTGGCGTAACTCAGTGTCTAACCCTGCGCTTTTTGAAGCCAATTCCTTATTCGTGTGAGCTCTGCCAGGTGTCCAGCAGCTCGGGTCCTGCAGCAAAGCTGCTGAGCCCCTGGGTCCTGTCTGCTGGTACCAGCAGCTTCCAAAGAAAGGGGCAAGAAATCCCCCAGTGTGGAGCTGCAGAACACAGCGCTTCTAGAGAGCTGCAGGGAAATGGAGCGGAATGACCTCCCAGTCACCTTCTGCTCCTCGCCAGTCTCGCAGTCTGGTCTGACTCCCACAGAGGAGATGAGAGTCTGCTGGTTTTCATGGGAGCAGGAGCTGGCGTTGGGCACTCTGGAGACTTTCTGCCTCCTCTTTATTTTGCTTTGCATAGCATCCGGCTCCCGGGGAGCAGATGGAGTGCTGTGTTTGTTCACGTAGGATGTCATCTGCCCCGGGGCAGAGGAGGGCACCCAGGACACACGTACAGCCCAAAGCCAGCTGGCGTCTGATCTGACTGGGCAAGGACCGAGAAGGCTGAACAGTTCCGGTTCTGTTCCCTTCTTATTCACCTGCAAATGCATCTCTTAAATCCTTGCTTATAGCAGTCCCAACTTAGGGAGAGTTCAGTAATGCTGTCATACGTGTTGGGACTTGCATACAGCCTTGGTCACTTGATGCCATAACTGATCTACAGGCCACTGGCTGTCATTGTTTGATGGCCAGACCATGGCAGTGCATTCAGGTTTCTTAATCTAAATTGTCACCTGTAGCATACACCAGAAGCGTAAGGGCAGGCTCCCTCCAAGATACACCTGGATGACTGAAGCTTTTATTGCAGTTTATTTTTTAAACACATTTTTCCCTTTAACAAGAATTATGTACATAAATTTAAGCAGACCTCTTGGCTTCCCTTTTTATGTTACCCCCAAGTGATTCCTTGTTAATTCATATGGCCTCTACAGGGTCTGACCCACTGCCATAAAGTGGATGTAGAAATTAACTGAATTGCCAGAAAGCATCGGATTTCCAGATGAGGGTTTAACTTTGTGTGGTGGAATCCACATGGAATTTTTTGAAAAGAAGCCTCCATTCTCCTCTTCAGCACAGCTGGAATGATGAGCTCTGAGTGGAGTTCCTACCTTCAGAGTAGCGCGTGGGTCACTGTTTTGCTCAGAGGTGCAACAGCAGATGACAGTTATGAAAATCTTCAGAGACATGAAGTGTTGTGGGTGACTAAAGGAGACTGTTATTGATGTCTCCAAAGTGGTGGTTGTAGTTGGAAGCCAATATCTGAAAAATCGTATTCCCTTAACTAAAAGTAGCCAAGGATTAAAATGTTTCTGATTTTCAAATGGAATTATAATTTTATATATATTATTAATTATTATAATTATAGTGTGAATG